ATAAACATTAATAGTTAGATGGTTTCTATATAATAAGATATATTTGACATTTCATATATTTGACTACTATGTTCATTTCAGAATATCGACAGCGTCATTTGATATCCTGTTACAATACAAAAAATACCATCATGAAAAATAGGTATTTTGGAGAAAGAATTAGCTGATTATTTTTAAATATATAATTTGCTAGCCATCTCAAGGTCTTGAGGGATAAGAGTGGATACAAGAATCATACAGCAGTTTTGTCCATTTTAAACATACATTTGTTAAGCTTAGATTTTTGCACATGCTCTCATACACCAGGGGTGTCAAACTGGATTTCTTCGAGAGCCAGATCAGCACTGTAGTTCTCCTCTGCGGTCGGCCCAGGAGGAGGAGATGGGACGGACACTTCCTGCAACACCCTGCCAGTCAAAAGAGGGCACAAGGGAGCCATGCGCATGGCCCCCCACACCCCATTTTGGCTGCCAGAGGCACTGCAGGCCGATCGTTTGCTATTTCCAGTCCAACCCCACTGGCCAGATTTAAGCGTCCTTGACTTTGACACCCGCCATACACAATTGATTTTGAACTTTAGGTGCATTTTGTTGAATGTTGAAGCCAGTTGATGCATGTACTTTTTAAGCTTCAACAGGTGTTCAAAATACCAGGATAGAAGATTCTATGTAAATTTAAGGTTATTGGTATAGTATAACTTCATGAATCAAATTTGTGCTAATGAGTATTTCACAATGTATTTTATTTGCTAGGTATAGAATCAGAACTAATTCCAGGTCGGGTTGTTTTGTTCTATATTTGAAGCAAAACAAGCTTTCCATTTTATGCACACAGCTAATTTTATTTATTGTTCCTTTGTGCACCAGATTAGAAACAAAGACTAGAAGATTTAGAACACCAGGTCTTTTGTTGGAAGAGTCCCAAGATATTGGGATCAATACTCTGGATTGATCCAGAGGAGATGACAGGGGCAGGTCCTGAGAATATTATTTGGGAAGAGTTTGATCCTGTGACTTCCGAAAGCATGGACAGGATACTGAACAGACTAAATGCGACCACATGTTTATTGGACCCGTGTCCATCCTGGTTGGTACTGGCCTCCCGGGAGGTGACGCGAGGCTGGCTCCAGGAGATTATAAATGCTTCTTTGAGTGAGGTTGTCTTTCCCACCGTCTTGAAAGAGGCAGTGGTGAGGCCCCTCCTCAAGAAGCCCTCCCTGGATCCAGCTGTATTAGCAAATTATCGTCCTGTCTCCAACCTTCGCTTTGTTGCAAAGGTTGTTGAGAGTGTGGTTGCACGACAACTGCCTCAGTACCTGGATGAATCGAATTATCTAAATCCATTCCAGTCGGGATTCAGGCCCGGGTACAGCACAGAGACAGCATTGGTCGCATTGGTTGATGATCTCTGGAGGGCTCGGGACAGGGGTTGCTCCTCTGTCCTGGTCCTACTAGACCTCTCAGCGGCTTTTGATACCATCGATCATGATATCATGCTGCACAGGTTGGAAGGGTTGGGGGTGGGGGGCACTGTTCTACAGTGGTTCTCCTCCTTTCTCTCTGACCGGTCGCAGTCTGTGTTGACAGGGGGGCAGAGGTCGACCCCGAGGCCCCTTATATGTGGGGTGCCACAAGGATCGGTCCTCTTGCCCCTTCTATTCAACATTTATGTGAAGCCGCTGGGTGAGATCATCCGTGGTTTTGGGGTGAAGTACCATCAGTACGCTGATGACACCTAGCTGTACATCTCCACCCCAGACCACCCCAATGATGCCCTCGAGGTGATGTCCCGGTGCCTGGAGGCTGTACAGATCTGGATGGGGAGGAACAAACTCAGACTCAACCCATCCAAGACGGAGTGGCTGTGGTTTCCGTCGTCCCGATATAGTCAGTTGGCGCCATCTCTGACTATTGGGGGCAAGTCGTTGGCCCCCACAGATGGGGTTCACAACTTGGGCATCCTCCTGGACTCACGGCTGTCTTTTGAAGAGCATATGACGGCCATAGCCAGGAGGACTTTTTATCAGGTTCGCCTGATTCGCCAGTTGCATCCCTTTCTGGATCGGGACTCGTTATGCACGGTCACTCACGCCCTTGTCACTTCACGCCTGGATTATTGTAATGCTCTCTACATGGGGCTCCCCTTGAGAAGCACCCGAAGGCTCCAACTGGTCCAGAATGCAGCCGCACGGGTGGTAATGGGAGCAATGTGGCGCTCTCATGTAACCCCCCTCCTGCGTGAGCTGCACTGGCTCCCAGTGGTCTTCCGGGTATGCTTCAAGGTTTTGGTTACTATCTTTAGAGCGCTCCATGGCTCAGGACCAGGGTACTTACGAGACCGCCTCCTGCCACCAATAGCCTCTCACCGACCAGTTCGCTCCCATAGAGAGGGACTCCTCAGGGTGCCGTCGGCCAAACAATGTCGACTGACGGCCCCCAGGGGGAGAGCCTTTTCTGTGGGGGGCACCTACCATCTGGAACGGGCTTCCCCCGGAGTTACGAAACATCCAAGACTTACGCATATTCCGCCGTGCCCTGAAAACATTTCTATTCCAACAAGCTGGTCTGGCCTAACTCTCCCTTTTTAATTGGCTTTTAAACTGGCTTTTAAATTGGGTTTTAAACCTCTTTAGATAAATTTGGATGTTTTTAATCTTTGAGCCTAAATTACTTAATCTGTTTCTTAATAGTTTTTACCTTCTATATGTATTTGTATTTATTATGGCTGTTCACCGCCCTGAGTCCTTCGGGAGTAGGGCGGTATACAAATATGAAAAATAAAATAAATAAAATAAATAAATATTAATCCTTACTTTCATGATATCATTTGTGTTGTCAATAAAGTTCTAATTGATTAGCATCAAAACATGCTTTGGCAAGACCCTTTCTGCTTATTTGAATTTTGCATGTTTACATTCAGAAGTCCGTTCCATACAATTCATGTGAATATTTTTACTCTATTTTTAAAAAATGAGTGGGTAATTATTTTAGTGCTTTTCCCTCAGAATATGCATTTCTTATGCTTTCTCTTAAAGTATACCCATTAAAATACCCACTAAAGTGTTACATGCACTTTATTGTGTTTTGTAGTCAAGAATTTTGTTTCAACATTTGGTGAAATGTGTAATTTATTTATTAAATGTTTATTCTACCTTTATTGCTTTATCAGTAACTCAAGGTGGAGAACATACTAATGCTCCTTCCTTCTCCTATTTTCCCCACAACAAGAAACATGAAACATGGGCCGACCAGACAGAGAATGACTGGCCCAAAGTCACCCAGGTGGCTTTCATGCCTACGGCGGGACTAGAACTCACAGCCTCCTTGTTTCTAGGCCAGCTCCTTAATCACTAGACCAAACTGGTATTAGCCAAAATAAGTGGCTAAACCAATGGTTCTTGAAATGCAGCCCAAATAAAATTCCTTTTGGAATCTCCTCTGGAAGATGACAGTTAATACTACATAGGGGGAGGGACTAAAGATTATTCCTTATAGTAAATAGTCATGTATTTCCCAACTATTAATCAGCATTGAGATCCCTGGATTGGTGTTCCCCCCCCCCACACACACAACTTGGTTTCCCTATAATTTGAAGCCATATCCTGTTCTTCTAATCATGCTGTTCCCAGAAGATTCAACATTGTGTTGCAAAACAATAAGCTTTCCTTTATTTTTGTGATTACTCAAAACATCTTAATGGCTTCCATCTTAAAAAGCTTTAATAGGAGCTTGGTCAACCCAAGTTATAAATAGGTTTATCAACAGCTGTAAATTGTGATGGCCACATATATAAATCATTGTCAGAGATATCTTAATACCAGTTGCAGGATTCTGTTTTTGCCTAGGGCAAAAGTTAGTTTATGCTTACTTTTCATGACCTTCCCTCTCTTTATTTTTTAACATTATGCATTCCTTGTTTTAAATGCTCAGATTTAAGAGCTATTCAAATACATCAACAAATATAGCAATAGCAATCACACTTAGACTTATATACTACTTCACAGTGCTTTACATCCCTCTCTAAGTGGTTTAAACAGTCAGCATACTGCCCCAGCAATCTGGGTCCTCATTTTACCAATCTTGGAAGGGTAGAAGGCTGAGTCAACCTTGAGCCAGTAATACTCAAACTACAGAGTTGTTTGGCTGAGTGTCAGCAGTTAGCAGAATTAGTCTGCAGTACTGCATTCTAATATAAATATATATAGTTATATTTGTTATCAATACAATACGAAAACCTTCATTCTGCTTTCTATGATAACCACGGGGAGAAATATATACTAGAGATTATTCTGTCTGTCTTCAAATTTATGGATTGTTTTGTTAGTCTTCCCTCTGTTGCAGTTGTTTCACCCATGCAGGCCAAAAAAATGTATCCCTGTAAATCTGAATTAGTCATTTATTATTTACTTGCTTTCCAGCATTTTGACAGGTAATTATATAAGATGCTATAGTTTCAAGTAAAACAAGTTTACTTTGTAAACCATAGGGATAGGATTTTTTGGGTTGTTCCAATTTCTGTCTTTTTTACCCTGAAAGATTCTCTGGACTAATTCCACAAAATAATTAAGCAATATGCTGAACTAGCTCAGTGCTTTTGACAAACTGAACTCAGTAACCTTTCCCAATCAGTTGTCCTTCAAATACATTTGTACTGAAATTAAGATATGGTTGGAAGAAATGATGCAGCAATGTACTGATTTAAAACCAGAGCTGTTCCTACTGGGTATCCTCCCAGAAATAAATAATAAAATATTTATTTGATTGTACATGTAATAACAGCTGCAAGGATTGTTTATGCACAAAATTGGAAAGCAGAGAAATGAATAGATTGACTTTGATGATTAAAGAAAGAGAAGATTCAGAATACTTTAAGATATGGAATCAATTTTACCATTGGTTAGAAAAGAGATATAAATAAGTAAATTAATAGTTATGCATAAAAATGCTACAATTAGAATATTGTGTTAGTGATGAATTGTTGTAATGGACTTGGCAAGAATGAAGATAGAAGAAACAACAAAAAGAAGAATTTTTGGAGACAACACCGAGATGTCACATGGAAGGAATGACTGATTTATTAAATGTTTGTTTGTCTAAAAAATAAAAAAAAACTTAAAAAAAAATACATTTGTACTGCAATTCCCAGAATTTCTAGCCAACTGTTGAATATATACATGCTCTTTAAAAATTCTGGAAGTGCCAGCATGAAGAAGGCTGAGTTATTTAAAAGTGATGTTTGACTTTGCATGTGTTTGAGAACGAATTTAAGATGGTCATTCAACCCCAGTTAAATGCTGTGAATTTGGAAGAACTCATTTGACCAAATTTTCCCTTTTAATGGAATAAGAAGCTTAGTTTCTTTTTTTCTATACTTGTGTCACAGCAACATGTCAACCGGTTATTACAAAACATTGGCTTGGTTACACTTTTTCTGTAATAGACACCACAATCAAAGCATAATTTACTAATTTAATCTTATATGTGTACATTTTATTTATTATCCTATCTCACAGGTCCTACCAACATCCTGCAAATTGTCTGAAGCAAACTCCTTATACAAAGCCTGTTTGTTCAGTCACCAAACTTGCACAAAGAAAGTTTTCTTTTCTATCAGAATGAATTTCTTATCATTATTTCAAGACTAGGTTTTCTGCTTACTGCCAGCTTTCTACCCTGACTTCCTGGTGTGGTCTAATACTCTAAGGACATTCTGACAGCAAGTTACAAGAACAAGAAAGTATCCTGTACTGCAGCTGTGGTTGATGTAAGTCCATTCCAATGCCTTGCTATAAATATGAGACTATGGCATTGAGATAATTGGCATCTTAAAATACTCAGTACAATACTCCAGAATTCTCAAGGCAAATGGAGAAGTTGCTGCACCAGATACCTAGACAGTGTTTGGAGATGAAATCAAAAAACATTTTGTGTGCATTTTAATATTCCCGAGGGCTGAAATCTGATCTGAGCAATGACTACTGAAGGAGGCTTTATACTTATAAAAAAGGACCATTAAAAAAACTATTAAAAGCCTAGCACCTATACATCCATGTGTTCCATATATATATGGGTTGTGGAACAAAGGCAAAAGCAAGCAATCTCTTAGATGAAAAGCAAGTTGAGTGATAGAAAAAGGAGGGACACCAAATATATTCTTAACGTTCTATCTATAACCCAGTAGGTCATGAGGTGCTAAAGAGTGAGATGGCACCACTGAAGTCACACTTCTAACAAGCAGCAAAATGGTGCAATTTTTTGCAGAAGTCACCAAGTTCAAGTGACTCACTCTGAGGTGTTTATCCTCATTATGATGAGGTGAAAACAAAGGCAGCCACTGCTGTAATGATTATTCAAATGGTAGAATATCTTAGATCACTGCTGGAAATGGATGAAATGATGTTCCAGTGCCCAACTTTCTTTCTTTTCTTCTTGCACATACAGATCTACCTCTGATTAGTTTAAGAGACCCTCCAGAGCATAATTAATATATCTGGTGGATGCGTTGCCAGAAGAAGAAGAATTAGCATTTCTTCCAGCGGTGAAACTGCATCATTGAGTTTCAGCCAATAGATAAGGGCTGGCTGCAGTTAACTGCATTGAAAGTTTTGGATATGAACATAGGGAACAATATCATTCTTTTCATGTGGAGCTCATAATACCTATGTGTTATTAGTACTATTATAACATAGTAGAACTGCCAGGATTACTAAATAAAATGACATGAAACACAATGAGCACTTAGAAAAATGATAAATAACTCTGAGCTCTCTTGCAATAATTATTGGTGGAAAAATCAGCAATTCAAGATTTTGACTAACTAGAAAATAAGTAACAAAAAATGTCCTACAAAAATTTGGTCTCTCCTCTTATGTGCAATGACATTTCTTTTGTATGAATAGAAAGTGTTACTCATACTTGGATTTTATTATGCAAAAACAGGTTTTTCAAGCTTTGTTTGAAAAGGAACAATTACTCTTGCTTGTATTCCCAAGCAAAATCAAAGTATTTAAACTGCAGCCATTAGTGTGCAGAGGATCTTAAATGAATCCATCAGCATTTAAAGACCAGGTATGTCAAATGTTTGCAACAAGATTTTCTAAAACTCATGGCTCATTTGGGTTGATATTCATCATATGATTTGACATGAAATCAAGCACTAATTGTCATATTTTAGTTTTATAAGCAAATTAGGTAAATTATTTCCAACTTGCACTTGATATATTCTTTTTCTCTTTGCCGTTTTCCTGACCCAAAACAGCCTGATAACAGCCCGAAAAACGGCCTGAAAACAGCCTGAAAAACAGCATAAAAGGGTTCAAAAAACAGCCCAAAAAATGGGCAGGGGCGGGGCCAATCAGTGGTGGGATTAGCCCCAATCAGCTGAATCTTACCTCTGCCTTTGAGGCAAGTGGCAGGGAGGCGGGGCTGGGTGTGATGAGTGACATCACCCACCCAGTCATATGACTAACCAGCCACACCTACACACCCAGAGAACCAGTTGTTAAGTTATTCAAGTCCCACAACTGCTTCCATCCTTCCAAGATAGTAAAATGAGAACCCAGATTGCTGGGGGCAATATGCTGACTCTATAAACCGCTTAGAGAGGGTTGTAAAGCACTGTGAAGTAGTACATAAGTCTGAATGTTATTGCTATTGCTGTCTTTGTTGTGTGAAGGTTAACCTTTTATTAGTGGGTACAAAACTGCATATGTAGATATGCAGTAAATATTTAAATATTTAAAATGTTTGTCTCTAGTCATCCTTACTGGAACATTATTTAAGCAAAGGACACAAAATTCCATGTCTCAAATGCTGCACATCTCTGCAATTTCTTTGCCCTGCAGAGTCTCCTTGCACAGCCATATCTGTAAAATTCCATTTGTTAAGTCCATACTTTTTGCCAGTTACCCTGCACAGAGATTGTTCCCAAGGCAATAATTTATGCACCTTCCATGGAGCAATTTGAACAATTTTGAGCCACTGTACTTCTCCTATAAAGTTCATAGAAATGTGGCTTAGAATGAAAGTAATATAGATATGTATTCTTTATTAAATTTCTTCCCTATAGCAAAATTTCAGTTATGAAAAGCCCATAACTGTTACAAGTTCTGTCATTTATTGTGTTTTCAGTTACTTAAAAGGCCAATTCGCAAGCTGATGTGAAATGTTGCCCCGAGTGGAATTGCTGCTGCTTTTTTATGAGAAACAAAAAGCAAGAACTAACAAACAACTCTGCTATTCTTCATAAATGGTGACATGTTAACTGGGATGGCTCCCTGTGCTGTAGACTGAAGCGCTTCCTCATGGAAAAAAAATTCTTGCCCTGATCATCTGTTTGTTATACAGCAGAAAGAAAATTCTAAGCTACAATGGAATAACCCAAATCAGCAACCTATTGGTTTGAAAAGGACATAAGAAAATAATGAGTGAATCAACACAAATTTTCTATGTGTTGTGGCCTCTCGGCTGCCAGCCCTTCTAGCAGCCGAATCAGATAAGGAGGCAGCGTGGGAATCAGGGCCAACATCAAGACAATCTGAGAGCTCCGAGGGGGAAGAGGAAATTTAGCTGTCAGAGATAGAGACAGAGGCGGAGCCTGGGCCATCCATCAGCCCAGAGAGTCAACAGCTTCCAGGTCTGGAGGTGGCTGATGAAGAAGAGGAGGAACAGCTGGGTCCAGTGCCTGATGCATGGATGTGCAGAAGGCAGAGGAGAGGAGAGCAGCGGGAATCTATGGGCCAGTCCTTGGGACAGAAGAACCACAGCTGCTAGCGAAGCCCTGCCCTAGCTCTGGGGATAAAAGGCAGGGGGCGGAGATGAATAGGTGTGGCAGACAACTATTCATCTCCCTGCTGGTCAACCACTGATAACCTGCTCTTCCAAATCCTGTCTGGAAATTATCAGAATTCTTCTTGGAATCTGCAGGGCCTTCTGAGCATATTTAAGCATGTGTGTGTCTCTGCTGCTGGAAGAAAGTGAGCACACCTTCTAGGGCTTCCTTTGCAAGTGTGGGAAGAGAGAGACAGACACTCCTGGTGTATTGGGGCTATTTCAGAGGAAAAGGGAGTGAACATCACTTTCCATAGGATTTAGAGACTTCACAGCCTGCTGTGAGAGAGCGACTGCTGGCACTCCTAATAAAGGGAATGTTTCATTAAATACAAAGGGATTGTTGTGTTTGGGAGCTGGGTCAGAACACTATGGTTTCATTTTTAGGTATTATTAGATGGCGTATATCTCATTGGGTGATTTCAGAGATATTTTCTTAGCTAAACAGAAAACCATAATGATAATAGGTGGGCAAAAAAGCAGGGGAAGCAAGAGTAACTGTCACCTTCCTGCCAGCTTTACCTTTGCTTGAGGGGAACTGACAAAGAACATCAAAAATCTGCCTTGCCTTTGCCATGCCAGCAGACAGGTAAGTGGCTAATGCTGCGTGAAGGACAGAGGGAGCGAGGAAATATGAGACCGCCAGGGAAACTGTCACAAAATGTTGAAAATGAAGATCACGTGACCCACAGCAGCATCCCAGCAGCAGCTGGTAGCACTGAATCAGCCACAAACTTCAATCTTTCATGAGTCATGGGCCCCAGATATTGGACACATTCTGTACATTTGAGATACATTGATTAAAAAATTGTTGCTCTGTGATGCACCATTTCTCTCCTTTAAAAAGTCTGGGCAAGGAGAGTTTTGTAGTTCATAGATTTTGAGACTTTACCATGATTATTTTTTAGATCACACTGACATCTAGTGGTGATAAAATGGATGTTTCCAGCAATGAAAACTAAGATACACAAATTGTAAGGTTGTATAATTCACTTACAATCCTGTTTATAAGATCTGTGATAGTAGCATTGCTGAATTACATGCTTATCTTAATTATTTGTGACCGTTACAATTTAAGAAGGCCAACTAGGAGAAGTCAGAAGATACAGTATTTCCCAAACCTCGATAAATTACCCAAAACTGGGTACAAGTCATTTTTCTTGGGGTAATGATACACAAATTAATGGTTTTGCAGAGCAAATGATAGAGATTAGGTCAAGCATTCAATACAAAATGTTAGAAAATAAGCATCATTTGGAGTCTATCAGGTCATGATGAATATTCTGTGATGCAATTATTTCTGTTTTCCAGCACATACATGTGTGAAGAAGGGTTTTCCACTCTTATCTTCATAAAATGTACAAAATGAAACTGTTTGGTAAATCCCAAAATAGTTTTGAGTAATGAAAAAAAGTTTGGAAGTACTGCTATAATGAATAATAAAATGAACGTTTTTTTAAAAAAACATTGTTGCTTAGAAGTTTCAGGCATGTCCACATGACTTAGTTACGCTTATACATGATGGGCAAGCAGAAATATAAATGACACATTTTCCCTTCCCAAATTGCCCCCCATAATGATCATATGGATTTTATAGTCCAGAACTGGCAGTCAACATGCATGCATATATTAACCTGCATGAGTTATGTGCATAATTAGTACATTATTTAGAATTCAGAAAAAATTACTCCACTGCTATTCCAAATGTCAATTTATTTAATTGAAAGAAAAAGAGAGAGAAAATAAAAAAATACTGAATACTGAAAACTAAATGTTTTATTTTATATCTTCTTCTTGCATCATGCCTTTGTCTCTTTCTAGCACATGGATGAGATGTTCCAGTTTTAAAATAATAATTCTGACACAATTCTCCTGACAATTTTTCATCTGGACATAATCAACCATATTTAATCAATGATATGGCCAGTGGTGGGATTCAAGTAATTTAACAACAGGTTCTCTGCCCTAATGATTTCTTCCAAAAACCAGTTTGCCAAACTGCTCAGAAAGTTAACAACTGGTTCTCCCGAACTGGTGCGAACTGGCTGAATCCCACCACTGGATATGGCTGATAATACTATTAGCAATTGGGATCTGTCCATCTCTTATTGGATGATTTAGGCTACCAAAGGCATTGCCTTCCCCTCCAGCCTTTGGGGACTGTCCTCCAGGGTCATTTTGGTGTGGGCTGAAGGAGAGAATGAGTCTCTAACACATGTTTATGAAGTACTTCATATTTAAACATGGATTTGAAGCTCTTGATGGAGCATTAGTCCCGGAAAGAGAGCAATGATATGTTGCTTATTCTACCATCAGTGAGTATATTACAGACTTTTTGGACTCCTGCCAACTAAAGGTTTTAAATGATTATACTTTGCAGTGTTTATATTACTTGAAGAACACTATAGTGCCTACCCCTGTGCCATTGTGCCTACTTCATAAGATACTTCCAGGTGTTGCCAGACATAGCCATCTTCTGTCACCACTGCCATTTCCCTTGCAACACAGACAGTGCTCACTTTTTATCAGTTGCTCCCCCTAGTTTTGCTCACATCCCTTCCCTGTGCCTATTACCTATTTTTGAAATGGGTTTAGTGCAGTGGTGAAATCCAATTTTTTTTACTACCGGTTCTGTGGGCGTGGCTTGGTGGGCATGGTGTGGCTTGGTGGGTGTGGCTTGGTAGGTGTGGCAGGGGAAGGATACTGCAAAATCTCCATTCCCATCCCACTCCAGGGGAAAGATACTGGAAAATCCACATTTCTACCCCACTCTGGGGCCAGCCATGTGGTATTTGCCAGTTCTCTGAACTAAAAATTTCGGCTACCAGTTCTCCAGAACCTGTCAGAACCTGCTGGATTTCACCCCTGGTTCAGTGCTTTTTCAGAAGAGCACGAGGGCCATGAAAAGAATTAGTCCAACTAATTTTATTTTTTGTCTTGGTCTAAATTAGCCATTCTAAGCCATTCTTCTATACTTGCTCATGCCCACCCTATTGTACCATATAATATATAAAGAGTTGGGTTTTTTTGAACGGTGTGCAAATATGTTTGTTTTTTTCATTCAAGGCTGACATGACTAACAAGCTAATCAAAGAACTACCAAGAAGAAAACCTCAGCCTCACCAAAATCGACAGGGCAAGTTATTGTATATAAAAAGGAAGCAAATACCACTCTACTAACACTGATAATGTTACCTAGTTGGGTAATGAAATATCTGAGGAAAAAAAACAACTAAGTTCAGGGATCTTGCTCCCAAAGTATCCACACTTCAACCCTGAGTTGCAGATGTCCTCTTCTATTGGAACAGTACTGTTTCTGGCATTTTTGAAACCCAACAAGGACTGGCAATGAAAGCAGACCAATTTACGCCCACATATTTTTTGCTAGTACACAGAGATGAGGAACATGATGAGGCGAGGTGGCGCAGTGGATAGAGTGCAGTACTGCAGCTACTTCAGCTGACTGCTAGTTCAGCAGATCAGTGGATCAAATCTCACCGGCTCAAGGTTGACTCAATCTTCCATCCTTCTGAGGGGGATAAAATGACAACCCAGATTGTTGGGGGCAATATGCTATTTAGTATACTGTCTTTGGTGTAAGCCGCCCAGAGTCTTCAGAGAGTGGGCGGCATAGAAATATGAATAATAAAATAAATAATAACATAATAACATAAATTAATATGGTCATTAGCTGTACCCATAGAAAGCAATTATATATCTATTCTTTCTCAAAGTTTATAAGCTTTTAAGCTTGGGTATTTTTTTTAGTATAAAAGAAATATTGAACTAAGGCGTCTTGTTAATAACTAAGCAAAATATTAAAATGCGTTCAAACAGAAAGATTATCTGAACTCCTCTGCAAAACATGGGAATGTAAGTAATATTTGCCAATGTTATTTTGGAATAATGTTTTACTAAAATATGAGCAGTTGTGCAGATTAATAAAGCACCATATAGAAATACATAAAAAGATAAGCAAATTTCCTATTGTTTCATGTACAAGTCTAAGTACATCTTACAATAATTTGACTAATAATAATAGGACTATAGAGTCAGAGTTGGAAAGGGCTATTTAGGGCACCAAGGCATCCAGTTCCATATAAGAATCCAAATTAAAGCATTCTCAACAGATGATTATCTTGCCTCTGAACATATGCAATGAAAACAGACTTGTCTCACCACTCCTTCAGGTAATCAGTTTTATTGTTTCACTGTCCTAACTATTAAGTGAGGGTTCCCCCCACCTCTAATAACCAGCCAAAGCCTCTTTTTCTTTAACTTACATGGATTCTGCAAACTGAGACAATGAAGAATCAACTTTCTTTAACCATGTGACATCCTTT